CATTTCTTGCTTGGATAATTGGTTGTCTTCGTGGCAGCATGCATGGTTGCTATAGCCCCACGCATGGTGCAACATATATACACTATTTTGAGTGATTATGAATGTGCACCCAAAGCACTCACTCCCCCTTCCCATTTTCAAACTTGGTGGGTGCATTGAAATTTTGTTTGGGTCACTGTTATGCGGTTAATTGCAAGGCCTAAAACTAAAAGCAAAACACAGTGTAAGTGTGTAACACAGAAACCTCCAATACTAAGGTGATTTCAACATCAAAATGGATGGTGTAATATTTATTTCTGTTATTGAAAGTTTGAATTACTCTTCAACGTTCAAAGAACATTAATATAATTATAATTATATATTAACATTACTATTCATTCTTTTTGGCGTATATATCTATGTAGGATTTTATTAATCTCCTTTTACATAAGATAGGTATCTTATGTTATAGAGAGAAACTAAGTGGGTCCCACCATTACAAAAAGAAAAAAGAAAAAAAAAATGAGGTGCGAAAATCGAAGTGAGAGAAAATGAGATAAGTTACCTTATGTAAAAGGAGAGTAATATTTCCCATTTATGTATGTGTATTGACGTAAAAAAATAGTTGCACAGCAGAAATAGGTTAAAATATATTCTTATCCATATATATCATGTTAATTTTCAGTTTAGTCTCTTTGTAGAAAAGGTTTTAAATTTAATTTCTAAGCATATAATTGTTTCCAATGGTGTTCTTGTCGTCTGTTGTTGTTATAAATTTATAGTACCGTAAGATTAACATGAAGATACTGTGAAGTAAATGGATCAATTTGAAAATATCCATCACATATAGGTACCAAATATGTATTATTTTTGGTTTCTATATACAAGATGCTCATTTTTTATTTGGTTCCTAATTCCTATACTTCATTATGTAATGACATCAGAAACATACAGTGAGGATCAAATTTAAAATAATAGTGCGTATGTGAATTAAATTGAATTCGCTTTTCATACTATGATTAAACTAAAAATAAATGTCAGGTATAAAGTCAAAAAGTATATTTCAATTAATTAAAAAAAATAATAAATATGATTGTTGCACACAACAACAATCTCGCGAGTCTAATAAAGTTGAAGGTGGTCGGCAACAATCTCGCAAAAGTATTATAAAGTTGAAGGAGAAAAACAAAAGGAAAAGAAAAATTAAATGGATGAGAATATGAGATCATAGTTTTGAGATTCAAATGTTATGTCACATTAATTATTAATGGACAAAAGTGAAGTGGATATAAGTGGAAGAATTCATGAATTCAATGCCTCAAGATTTTAGGTTAAGATGTGATGTCGGACCTACTTAATATGGTGGTGTAGCCTTAACCAATTGGTGGTGATTCCCCCGCCACGAATTTCTCTTGGACTCACCTGACAATGTGAATTTTTTTTTTCAGCGGTGAGAATAACTTTTGAAACACACACACACATATATATATATATATATTAAGGAAATAGTTATATTTGCAAATTTTTTGTTTACAAACTAGGGAACAGATCAACTTACCACCAAAAAATTTACAACTCTTACAACCAATTTAATCACCGTTGATTTTCGTCAATCTAACGGTTATAATTTATTGAAAATCAATAACATTTATTGTGTCACATTTATTAATTCTCAATAAATTATAACCATTAGATTGATGGAAATCAACAGTGATTAAATTGGTTGTAAGAGTTGTAAACTTTTTTTGTTGTAAGTAGATCCTCCCCCTACAAACTATATTATGTACTCCTCGAAGTACTAAGTTACACTGTGCACTTCTGATAATACATAATGTAATTTGTAAAAATTTATAAACGGATCCTTCACGATATTATAATCATTAATAGCTTTTTTGGGCTTCTTACATATACTTCATATATAACCCAAAAACAGAGAAGCGTAGCATAACTTGCATGCTAGTATACTCATATCAAAGATGATACAAGGGAAAATTTCTATGTAGCCTACCAACGTTAATTGTATGCATTATTATCTTTGTATATTTATAAAGAAGTTGTTTTTCATCTTTAAATTCTTAACATTCCGATCACAAAAAACAACCTTTCCAAAAAATTTCGTTTTTCTTTTTAATCAAATATATAAGCTGTTAAGATCAGAACTGGTAAGTGGTCTTATTTTTAAGTTGGTCAGATTCCCAAAACTATTAGGAAACTTCCTTATGTTGAACATTACTATATTTTACATGCAATATATGGAAAAATGAGCAAGCAGTGTTGTCTCTTATCCTCCTTCGCTAATCCCCACTTAGAGAAGAAATCTTCCCTTTCACTTTTTTATGGGAATTGTCTAATATTCTGCTCATTGTTCCATTAACTATATATGATTCATATATGTTTCTGTGATAGGTTAATATGATCAGATGTACTTGGGTACTTGGATGTCGGTAGAGAATCTAATATCTTCCTAGATTTTGCAAATGGGGTGCTAGTTCATTGCACACACACAAAAAAACAAGTTAAGATCCATATTCTTTGTCTTTCAAATACTATCCCTTGCATTCATTATAATTGAATACTGATTAACATTATCTTGGTGATAGTAAAATCAGATTCCGATTACAAATAAAGATTGAGTCAATTAGTCATTCTTCACATGACAAGTGTTACAATTCTAGCTTGCAGTCAATGAATGCAAGAAAATAGGGAGGCTTCTTTTTCCAAAATTTTCTTGGATACATCTATTTTCTCTGGGATTTAGCAAAGTTAATTTTGTTGTTCTTTCATTGCATATCCCTGTGCTTCTGGTCATAGGCTACCCACAAATACATGAGAAATGTATTATGCAACTACCAAACACACGTGAATCAATTGGTAAATGATTGTTTTAACTTCGTTAGTGGTCATAAATTCAAATCCTTAGGAACGCAACTGTAATAAAACTTGATAGAGAAAGCTTTGTTGCGAATGTGATTTACTTTAAGCTTTGCAGTTGTATTAAAATGTACTAGAAAAAATTGGATGCACATTAAATTGAGGGAAATTTCAGGATAATGAATGTGAGAAAATAGATTTGAGGCAAGCACAAACCAGTTGTCTACAAATGAAAAAAATAAAATAAAATACTTGCTGGTTTCCCAATAATGTAAGGCTCTTTTATTTTTACCATTGTGTACAATTTTTCATCCCATGTGCAGAAGGGTGAGTAAAAGGGTATAATAATAGAACTGGCACTCTGTCTTTCTTGGACCAGAAGAGAAAATTTATTCAATGTGTTAAATCAAAGAGGGAGGGAATGCATGACCTTGCTTTCTCTAAAGGCACCAATATCAATGTAGAATGGACTCATGGATGCCTATTCATTTTCCGACAACTCAACATAGAAATCCTTCACTGCCCTTCCATTGGTTGGCTAAAGACATGGCAAAGTTTAAAAAGAAAAAACCCTTTGGAGATCATTTATTAGAATAACACCCCTTCTTCCTTCATGCCCTTCAATGCCTTCACTCTAACTTTACTGTCTTTAATTACATGCATTGCTAGCTTGCACAAGAGGTGAGCTTAAAGTAACGGTAACGTTGTTCTTTGTGATCAGAAAGTCATGGATTCGAGTCTGGAAAATAATCTCTTTACAAAAAGAAATAAAGATAACACTATATAATCTACCCTCACTGTCGAAATTTGCCCTTTGTCAACTTGCACAAATTGACTTTCCCTCACAACTTAATTACCAAAAACTGCATAAAAAAATTGCATTCTAGATAAAAAATCTTTAGAGCATTTGATGACTCCCAATTTCTATAAACCTGGCCAGCACACCTTTCCCACTATCCATGTGACGTGAATGAGTGAGCTAGTGGAGGGGTTTTCTTTATATTTCCACCACCAAAAATCAGCACTATGTCTATGCTATTCTGAATTGTATCATTCTTTAAGGCGTACGCCACTATCTAGATGTTTTTATTGCCTTTCTGCATCTCATAGCTATTCCAAGTCAAACATAATCAATTATCCACACTAAGCACTGCTTTCTGACAAATTGACATTACTTGTTTGCTATATAATTATTTGATCTATACACTGTTCCAAACGCAAAACATTTCTAACATAAGCTTTATTAGATGTCATACTTTGTACGCCAAATTTGGATGGATGTGAAAGTGATATTTAGTTGCACAAGCATTTGTGAACAATTATAGTGGAATTTAAAGTGTTATATATTGGATTATGTTTTATTTTCCATGATGATTTCACAATTCTTGAATAATTGAATTTGCTATAACAGAGTGGACCTTGGACCTCTAATTAAGTATTAAGATACAAGAAATAGCAGTCAATGGAATTGATGAAGGATCTTTGGACCAATGGAGACAGAAATTTTTTAAGCCAAAAAATTGAGAATTCTACAGCTAATTATCACTAACTTAGTCTATGAGATCACTAAACTGTCAAGTTTTCTTTTCCTTTCTTTCTTTCTTTTTCTTTTTTAATTAGGTATGCATGATGCATGTGAGAGGGAGAAACGAAATTCTTAATTAAAACATGAAATCACAGAAAAGAAACAAACAAATCAATGTGAACAAAAATATAAATTTCAAAAAAAGAAAGAGCCAATAATGACATGACCCTTTACCCTTATAAACTATAGCAGCATCTAAGAAAAAGTGTTTCTATGCATCCAAACACAATAGAAAAGGTCTCTTTTACCAACTAAGAAATAAAATAATACAACAAAAGTTTTTCAAAACCCAAAAAAGTTAAATAAATCAACCAGGTGCATAAACACCAATCCCCACACCTTCAACACCATTTATAAAGCAAAGAGCTTCATCATGAGTGAAGCTTCTACGCGCTTTTGTAGCGACTGTATCTTAACCAGAATTGACACTAAACCAATCAACCCTCTGACGCCACAATCTACCATACCCAGCCACTACAAAGTGCATGTGGCTCTAAACTTTAAATACTTATCCACACTTGAACTCTTTCCCCTCTCTTTCTAATTACCCCTTTATACACATTCTGGTGTCACACTCTCTTTTATCCTCATATCTCTCTCTCTCTCTCTCTCTCTCTCTCTTAACTGAAGCAGCAACGCCAGCATCTATCTTTCAATTATTTCTCTCTTTCTCTTCCATGCATCTTCACAAACACATGGTGCTCGTTACTTAGCTCTACCTCAAACCCATCGAAATCCACATACCCACCAAGGAAAAACTACGACCCATTTCACCAACGTCGATATTCTTCTCTTCCCTAGAAGAAAAATCGAATTTTTCCATGGCCCTCGAAACCTGGCTCATCAAGGTGAAAACCGCGTTATCAAACAGCTTCGACTCTGTTCGACCCTCGAAGCCGAAGAATTTGCTGCTGAAGAAACCGTCGTTGTCGTCGAAACCGAAACACGTCGGAGTTTTGTCCTTCGAGATCGCCGGCGTGATGTCGAAGCTCCTCCACCTTTGGCAATCCCTCTCCGACGACAGCATCATTCGCCTCCGAAACGACGCCATCGCCATCGAAGGCGTTTGGAAGCTAATCTCAAACGACGAGTCGTTCCTCCTCGGCCTCGCCGTTGCCGAGTTCGCCGACACCCTCCGACTCGTCGCTGACTCGGTCTCCCGACTCAGTCACAAGTGCCACGACCCCACCCTCCGATCCTTCCACCGAGTCTTCACCGAGTTCGCTGACTCGGGCCGTGACCCGCACTCATGGACCCTCACAAGCTCCAAGGAAATCGAAGCAAAGCACAAGAGAATGGAACGTTACGTGACCCACACGGCAACGCTGCATAGAGAAATGGACGAGCTTTCAGTTTTGGAAAGCGCGTTGAGAAAAGCACTTCACAACAACAGCAACAACAACAACAATGATCACAACAATGATGTTTGTTCACTTGGAGGGAAGGAACACCAGAAAGTTTGTGATTTTCAGCAGAAGATTTTCTGGCAGAAACAAGAGGTGAAGGACCTAAAAGAAAGATCTTTATGGAACAAAGGTTTTGATGCCGTTCTTCTGTTGCTTGTGAGGTCTATTTTCACTGTGTTAGCAAGGATTAAGGTTGTTTTCGGAATTGGACACTGTAAACCTTGTTTGTCTCGTAGTTTGTCAGCTTCAGCTACTGTTTATCCCTCTGATCAAAACCCTACTTCTTCTTGTATCTTTGTTTCTGGGCCATTGAAAAGCTCAAAACTTGAGGAGAATAAGGAGGATTTGGGAAGTGGGTTTTTTGAGTCTAATTGCAAGTTGTTGAAGCCACCACCAAGTACATTAGGTGCTTCAGCTTTGGCTTTGCACTATGCCAATTTGATTATAGTGATGGAGAAGATGATAAAGTCACCCCAGTTGGTTGGTGTTGATGCAAGGGATGATTTGTATGCTATGTTACCAAGCAGCATAAGATCATATTTGAGGTCAAGGTTGAAAGGTGTTGGGTTTTCTGCTTGTGATCCTGTGCTTGCTGGTGAATGGAGGGATGCATTGGGGAGAATACTTGGGTGGTTGTTACCTTTGGCACATAACATGATCAAGTGGCAGAGTGAAAGGAGCTTTGAGCAACAGAATTTGGTTCCAAAGACCAATGTGTTGTTGTTGCAGACTTTGTTCTTTGCAAATAAGGAGAAGACAGAAGCTGCCATAACTGAGCTTCTTGTGGGGTTAAACTATATTTGGAGGTTTGAGAGGGAAATGACTGCTAAGGCATTGTTTGAATGCACCAATTTCAATGGCTTGTTAAGCTTGCGTAAACCCAGCTAAGAAGATGGGTTTCTTTTTTTTTCTTTTTCCTTCCTCTTTGTGCCTTAATGAGGGTTCTAATTTTGTCTCTTTTAAATTTTATGGTGTTTGATTTTAGATAATTGAACTAAGTTCAGATCCTTGAGGGTTTGTTTTGCTGCTAACCCAGGTCTGTATATGGAATATAGATGTATGTAAATGGTATATGAATTTTGAGTCAAACCTCCAAAGAAATGCATGGGCTTAATTTCATGATTCATAGATTCCGTAATCATGTGAAAATATTCCTAAAGTTCCGTAATAATTTTATATATCATCAACTACTATGTATTGATACTTCAATTAGTGGAGTTTAATCAATTTATTGTTGTTAGTTTAATCAGCTCTATGCGGTTCATGTGTTGAAGTATTAAACTACGAATTATAATCAATCCTCCCATATCTTGGTGACATTAATTTCATACATATATTATTCAGGGTGGAGTGGACCCTAGCTACTATTATTGAAATTAATATTTGAATGTAGCTAGAATAATTTTTTCTACATCTCGCATGGAAATTGGGAGGGGAGAGGGGACATTTCGCCCCTCTCTTGTTACCAGATTAAAGAGGAGGGGTTTATATAATTGCAAGAACAAAATTTTGATGGATTGTTGGTATAATTTTTTTTATATTATTTAATGTTATCTTAATATTTTATTTAATGAGTATAATTATATTAATTAATACATTAAATGTTAATAACATGACAATTCATCTTTAATGGTGGTGAATTGATTATTTCAGTAAAAGAAAAAGATAATTAAAATTGGCAACGACCAAGAGAAATTGAAGATATGACTTGTTAAAATCTTTGAGATAATAAGTTAATTAAACTGGCAAATCAAAGATTTGAATCCTGAAATTGCCACTTTGGAGAGAGCTTTACTTAATCACCATCCCTAATATGCAAAGTTAGTCCTATAGCTTTTGAAGTTATTTATAAAGTTGAAGACCTAAAATTAAATATTTTCTTATCTATAGACATAAAAATAGTTATATAACACACAAGCACATGAATATTGCTATAGTCCCCCACCCACACCATTTATTTTTATTTTTTTATTCAAGCATTTGAGATCCGAGCATATTCATTGAACTCCAAGCTCATTGATTAACAATATAAGAGTCAAGTTAGTTAAGCGGTAAAATGTATCATTTTTTCAAGCTGCTCCTAGGTCTCCCCTTTATGTTACTAAATTTCTCTCTCTCTCTCTCTCTCTCTCTCTCTCTCTCTCTGTGTGTGTGTGTGTGTGTGTGTGTGTGATTATTTTTAGCTGTTTTTTTTTTAGTGCTTTTTCCTCTCTTGTGGTGCTTTGGTTTTCTTTTTCAACGTTTTGCTAATAAGGGATGCTGTGTTCTCTCTATTTTTCCCTTACCCTTCTTACACTTTTTAAATTTTTTAATAATTTTGTCATAGATCTAAAAGATCTTGAATTTTTTTTTTTTTGGTATAAAAAGATCTTGATTTTTAAATAGATTTTAAAATGTTGGTTTCGAATTTCTTGATCTATGATGCTCTCAAAGTTGGCCTGAAGATGCGTAATATGAGAGAGAGGGAATATTGGAACAAAATTCTATTAGCCATAGTGTAAGAAAGAAATATTATTTGCAGCAAAATCAAGCCACCCTATCCGATGGAGATCACTGATAGCGGTCGCATACTTTGAAATTATATGTATCTAAGACTTTTTAGTTCTAATGAGCAAAATTACAAATAAAAAAGATGTGATATAAAAATCAAGGCCATGGTGCAAGAAAGAAATATTATTTGTAACAAGAATAAGATGCCCCAAGCTCAATGAAGAAAACTGGTGTAACTTGGTGGAAAGAAGAAATATTGCTTATAATAAGATTAAGACACTTTGAGTTGAATGGAGAAAACTAATGTAACATGATGATTCGTCTCTTTTATTTTTCTTAATTTTACTGGTAAGATTTTATGAAGAATATAATATTTTTTTATTAGGAGTTGTTCGGTCCTGAAAATACCGTATTGCTATACCGTATGGTATGCGTTCAGAGATACTGTATAAACTGATGTATACTTGGCTTATAGCCGATGTCCCAATCACTGCGCACAAGCAATAGGCTTATAGCCAAGAGGTGGGTGTGTGCACAGTGTGGACAGTATTCGTAAATAGGTTAAAAGTGTTTACCTGGGGTCCTTAGCTAAGCTCTTATTTATAAGGATTACTTTCTTAGGATTGAGCCTTTTGAGCTTTCTCAAGTGCAATAAGATTTAACTCCCTTTCTGTTGGGATGTGATCCTTATCTTATCTTGTGCCTTTTGGTTGTTGAGAGACTTATGACTCTATCTCTTAGTAGATTCTTGAGTGGGTAGTTGGGATATGATATTCATATCCATAACAGAAGTGATCTTGAATGCATCCCGAAATATAAAAATCATTAACAACTTGAGATTATATTGTTTTACCTGATATTAGAGTATATGTGATCACGTAGTTATAAGTTTGATATTCATCACATTTTATTTTCTAGTAAAATTAAATTAGTACATATGCAAGCTTGATACATTGTCCATCCTTCAAGGTATAAATGAGGTAAATATCCCCATTTACATTAACATTGTTAAGGCAATGTGGTTTAATTGTTTGATTAAATTAAGCAAAAGCATCTAACATCTTATTTTATCGTTCATATTCGTTGTGGTCTTGAAAGGTGTCCATTTTCTTTTTTGTAGACCGTTTGTTCGTATCCTTTGTTATTTTTTAGTTTCAATTTTTTTTTATGAACTTGAGGGAGACAATCGCCTCTTCTAGCCTCTCCATGAATCCACTGGTGATCTCTTGTATATATATATATATATATATATATATATAAAATTTTTTTCTTCATTTTCTGACCTTTTATTTGGCCATGCCTAAAGAGTTCATCGAAATTAAGATGGAACATGACTTTATTTCCTCTATAACTAAATAAACTTAAGTGAAAGAAGAAAATAAGGGAACATTTTGAACATCTTGAGATCTATGAAAAGAGGTTCTCAAGGCATTTGACCATTGTTGCCCCCATGTGGTGGTGGCAACTTGATGCAAGTGGGCCGAAACATGAGTGAGTTACATGATATGAAATGCAATTGCAACTCCCCAGTTCCAAGCCAGTCCAAAGAATTGTAGAATCCAAGTTGGAAAGCCCTTTTTATCTCGATGCAATCAACCACAATCTGCCAATCTATATATATAGCAACAAAAGTTCATCTCTACTCACATTTATCGTGAATTAACATTAGAGTTAAGTTTTTGAGTTTCATTTTAATTCACTTTCTATCATTTAATCACGTACATGAAAGATAAAAAAGAATTCGATTTATGTACTTCATTAAAAGAATAACAATGCTATTTGATGAAGTTCTTTTTTACGAAAGTTATCATTATGGGCGGAGAGAACTATGTGATCATAGTCAATTTCTTTACATTGTAAAAAAAAGAAAAAAGTAAACTCTTTCTATCTAATGATTAAAAATAGAAGTATGTTATATTTACAAACTGCACTATATACTACGGGTAGTATATGCTCAAATAGTATACTATGATGCACGGACACGGACACGGGACACGACACGCCGACACGTTAATTCTAAAAAATGTCATATTTGGACACGTTGGGACACGTTTTGATATTAAATAAAATTTTTAATATATATAATATGATTTATATTTAATACATATAAGAGTCCATAATAAGTCATATAACCAATTAAATATTTAAATTTCATAACATAAATATAAATAATTTTTCGTAGCTTGTTAATTTTTAATGTCAAATTTTATAACAGAAAAAAATTAATTTATAAATTATTTCTTTTATATTTAGTTAACAAAATAAAATTAAGATTTAAAAAAATAAAAAAAAACAAAAAAAAAATGTGTCCGAGCGTGTCCCCAAATGTTGACCGCGTGTCGGACGCGTGTCCGAGCGTGTCGGAACGTGTCCGTGTGGACACGTGTCCGACACGTAAATTTCAAAAAAATTTGCGTGTCGGTGTAACGGAGATAGTATATATTACCCGCAGTACATAATATAGTTTGTAAACAAGAAATTTGTAAATATAACTCTGCTTTTAAAAATAAAGTATAAAGAATTATGAAGTCTATTAAGGAAGGGAAACTTCCTTCAAGGGAATCAAGAGAGTCCCTTAAAGTGTCAACTTATTTTACAAATTAAATTGAATTTTAATCCATTTAAAATCTTAAATTTAAAAATAAGTTTCTAACAAAATATATACTCTACAACAAAACATTAGTTATTTGTTGATGATTTTTAATTTTGATCATTTATTAGTATTAAAATTTTAACTAATATTCAATCATGTAATGTAATGGCACATCATAATAACTTACTAGCATATTCAAGTTCTCTACATTAATGAAAAATCAAAATCTTTGTCGATAACTATGGAACTACACGAGGCCTATACTCTAATAGGCCCAGTTAGGGGTAGCAGGAAAAGGAAGCTAATGCAAGTAAAGGAAAGAGGCATTAATTGTTATCAATCCTAATACAACAACAATGAACCTATGCACGGGCCTTCAGAAGAGCCACCAAAGGTCCGGAATTCCAATACCCTTAGGTAAAACCTATAAGTAAGAGGTAAAACCTATTACCTTTAGGTATGGACACCTTTAATCTCTTACTATTATGTTGTCATTGTGCACACATACAATCCATTTGGCTAACGTCATTACTATCAATGTATAGTGATCTACTACCCTCAAAGGCATATAATCCATAAATACCTGAGAAAGCATATAGATCCGATATTAATCTTACTAGTCTTGGACTAGACATCTCTATCTTCAGTACAGAACATTAACATCGTCTGTGGGAAAAGTAAATTCCTACTCTAACAACAAAATATGGTGAATACCAGGAGTAATAGCAATCTGCTGCCGCCTCGACAAATCCTATTTTGATGGAGGTGGATTAACCTCCCAATGAACCTGATAGCGGCAATTCACCTGATTATGATGTTGTACGCGTCAGTGACGCCATCTCGGACACGACTTCCACCTCGGTACCCAATCCTTCGGGTCAGCCAACATCTCACCAACCTACTCTTATGCCACACT